CCTTCTCATTGATAGGATGCACTGCACAGCTGGATTGAGAGTTGCCCATAATGAGCTAGGCCTATGAGATATGCAAGAGAGGGTCAAGGATGGAGGATAAAGAGAAAGGCAAAAGAAAAAAGAAAAAAGAAAAAGGGAGGCTCAAAGTCTCAATATTTTGCCCAAACCCAAAAAGGAATTCAAGATCTGAGGAAGGAAGAGTATCTCAGAAAATAAATGAAACCTTGGAGTGAACATACTGTCTAGCTGAGGACAAGGAGAGGTCAAAATTAAGCTGATCATAAGGAAGACGAAATTCATCGATATGATGATTGAGAAGAAATAAAAGCTTGGCCGTTCCATGACAGGAAGGGTACAAGAAACCACTGGCAGTGTACAATCATTTGCTAGCAAGGTGGCTCCTCTAATGCAAATCCAGCACCAAATGCATGAATATAATAACCAGAATTGACAAGTTCCATCATGAAAAAGGTCTGTAAATGAGCGATACTGAAGAGGAGGCTCATGGCCAAAGGAGAAGATGGATTTATAAAAAGAGCAGGGCACACTGATGAGACCGTTACACAGTTATGTGTGAAAATGGGCCATCCCCATTATTTTTGGCCATCTCTATAAATTAATATAGGTTGTTGACAGCCTTTCCAAGCTTAGACATCCCAAATATACTTGAGAAAACCACATTAAAACATTTAAAAGCTTAAATATCAGAAGATATAATGATTGTGATAACCCAGTAATCATTAATCATTTATTATAAGATATCAAAGCAGATTATTACAGTCCTTACACACTAGTAGGGGCCTCGAGTTATTTAAAATTAAATACCAAGGGAGCACGAAGACATGCACAGACAATGGGAAAAGCCTTTCGGCCCGATATAGAATGCAAAACGGCAGCCAAAACAAGTCAATCACTCCGAAGCAGTGTAATCTATTTTTACCATCCGGAGGAATGTAACCGGAAATGAAATAATCCACAATGATCGACATCAGAGTGGGTGCTATTTTTAGTAATATGAAGACGCGAAGCAAAGACACTTGTCCCCTCATGTTACCTCATAAAACTAATAAGTTTACACCTATCCCAGACATATTAGCCATCCCCTGAGGACTCATACAAGTCCTCTGCGATGTAGATAAAATATTAAAAACACTATAATGTACCGGCTGTTGCAAGATCATAACAGCAGGAATATTAATCTGGTAAAATGCCTTAAATGGCAATGCATTAAATATTCAGTGCTTAATGAATATGCCCTGCCAATGGCATAATTCCCTTCACTCCGAAGCAGACCAATGACAAGATAATTAATTACACAGCGCTTATTAATTTAGCTTTAGTAAGACACCCAGAAAACAGTATATAAACCAGTAGAATTAGTGTAGAAAAGCAAGCAGACAGCACCCCTCGAGTCGTAGCAATACAATCGAGTGTCTGGCTTCTAAAACTAGATAATAGAAAGACATTTGATTGATATTAAAGTGCAGAAAGCTTCAGACAAACTTAAGAATTGAGCTCAGAATAGAGATAAATTAAGCAAAGGCTTTATACACAAGTTAGGACCTAGTTGAGTAGTTGGGAGTAGACAGAGCGTCACTCAGCTACAAAAGTACGAAGTCTTTTAGTCCAGAATCATAGCCAGAGTCTAGTTTCATCTCAAGAAGAGAGAATTCAAAGTTTAGAGAAGTTCTAAGACAGAAATTCAATTAAAGCGATCCTTTATCTAAAAGCCCCTACAAATCATTGTAAACACCATAGAAAGCAAACTTAATTAAAAGACATTGATACTTAACACTCCCCAGAACTTACACAAGTCAAGGTTATTTGTTGGGTTAAATAAAATTGATCTATTTCATTTTTCATACCTCCAAACTACCTAGCTTATCAACACCACTGCCAACCAGGTCCCGGATCAAGACCCAACACGCGCGATGTTCTTAGATATGTCAAGAGAGCTAGTCAATCGCCAGTAGCCACTGGAAGAATAGCTATCGAGTTGAAGCCCGCAGGAGCGAAGGCGAGGAGATGAGCTGAAGGTGGGGATGGTAGAGGAGGAGAGTAACGGGAGGCGGGAATTGAGGCACCTGGTTAATATTATGTAATTACCGGAATGGCGCGGGAATTTGTTGGGCAATGGGCGCAACCTTTTTCTTGTTGGCATCATCATACGCCGAGCTACGCATACCAACATAACATGCCACTGCTGCGACGGACATGCCACGTATCGCCCGCAAAGTGGTTCGGATTGATACGGCTCAGTTCGGTCTTGCTTAGGTGGCATCGGTGACTTCACTGGGCTAGTCGTAGTGTTTTGCAGGTCCGTCTCCTATTCTCTCACCTCTAGTTCTTTATTCTGACCTGATTTCAGTTCTGATTGTCATATGGCCGTCTCAGCTCGAATGACGTTCCTGAGCATTAGCAGCATGCCAACCACGCTGTAGATGACCCAGTCGCTACTACCTCTCTTCAAAGACTGGGCGACCGCAGCAGGTTTTGGCTTCGCCTACTCTGGAGCTGGAGATGCTGAGGATACTATGCAGTGGTTACACCCTTTTCTTGGCCTAAGCCGCCTCTGTCATTTAAAAGAGTATTCACCAGTACAATATAATTCCCCCATTAAATGTACCTTCCGATCTCAGTTTCGACTCACATTTGGGTGGACATGATACCCTCTACCACCCCTTCCGGCTCGTGACCCCCGTCGTGAAGAGAGCTAGAATAGTATGCTCATGAAAATTTAGATCTGGACGATGAACAACTGGGCGTTTTGGTTATTAGGAACGTTCCACAAGAGGAGGATAGCCACAGAAATACAGCCATGAGGTTTCGCCTTCATGAATCCATGCGCTGCCCTGTCGTCTCCTTCATCCGCTGGTATCCGCCATTTTAGCCTTGTTTAGTCTTCAGAAAACTTCGACCTCAAGCCCCTATGTGTACGGCCTCACTCTCTGCGTTCCACAATGTCCAAGAGCACCACTGTTAAAACCCGGGTTACACTACCAATGCCCACCGGTGCAGCTTCATCATCACCCGGAGTTGGCAGGTCGTGGATCGGCACTAACATATGCATATCTTGCGAGCCAGTCAAAGCAGACTTCCGTCGGTCCATCGACTACTGTGTTTCCCTCGTTGGCCAGCAGCAACTGCCGTGTAATGTACTTGATATGTCGAGGACGATCTGGAAGCTTCACAGCCAAAAACCAAACATACACCGCTGAATACGACAAGATGCGGACATGCTGTGAGAGAGCCCATGACATCGTCGGCGACACGTGTTTGCGATTATAGTGCTGCAAATACTGTAAAGCCACTCCAAAAACCATCTTGAAATCTGCTTTAGTAAAATTGACGTGGCCTTCTACTGGGCGCATACCTAACCACTTGCCTGAATCGGCCAACATTACTACCCTGACTGCCTCCGTCTTCGTCTTCTCACTCCTCACTGCAACTCGAGGTCGTCAGCCCACTTGGATGTGTTCAACACCTGGGCAGCCTCTTGCACGAGCAGCACGAACATTTTGCCTCAGCCATATTCACCGGTTCTCCGCTGCCCTGCGGCTCCTTCGTTTGATCAACACCATGCATACTGGACCCTTCTTCCTCTTCAGTCGACGTGGTGAATTCAGACAAGATGCCACGTGCCATGTCTTGATGCAGGTTACATCTTTGCTTTCCTCTCTCCTCTCCGACGCCGTCACGCACAAGCAACGCCAAGGTTCAGAAGGACACTTCCGTCGTGGTGGGAATGCCGCATTTCTTCTGCTGCTAACGATGGCGCCGGTGTTGATAGTGTTGATGATCAGTAGCTTGGGCAGCAGGACGGCCTTCGAAAGTCGTGCCTAATTCAACCAAGAGGCAGTAGAGGATGATGATGGAGGTGCTGCCGCCTGAGTTCATCTTCTGACACGGCCAAGTCAGAAACTCACCCGTAGTAGCCTTTGATCGGCGCCTTTCATCTCGACACGCATATTGTTCCCGTTGTCTCCGTGGGATTAACACGCACCCTTCTTCTTGTCGACTTTTCTGGACAGCTTCTCGTTTGTGGTAAACCTCTTTTACCATGGTACAACAATTGGATGGCAAGCCAGCTCGGGTCCGAAGGAGAAGACGTCGGGGCTTTATCTGGGGAGAGCATCAACTTATCTTCACTAGTTACATGGTGGTACAATTGCAAAGACTTCTGAAGAACAATACACGTGCAGAGAAAAATTATCGGCAATCTTTTCACGAACTCTCAATTTGCTTTTGGCGTCAATTTGATGGCGAGGTCCTGAGCGAATCCACACATGGTCATAGTAGGATTCCTGCATGACGGGCATCCATGTCAGTCATGACATATATCAACCGTCAATCGAACAACGCACCAGGAGCCTGAGGTTGGGAACAAAGCAGCGCCAGTCACGTACTGGCGAGTTAGCATAAGCTGCATATTCTTGAATTACAATGAGTATGGGAACTCACCACGTTGGAGACGCCTTTGACCTTGTAATTCTCGTCAACAGGGCACTTGTTCCCTTTGCCCAAAGGAATGAGAGACGCCTCGTGAACAATTCCAGGCATACGAATAGTATCTCGTCCATAGTGATGCCGAAGTCCGGTTCAGTCCGGTTCTCCACCTATTTATGAGAACCGAGAACCGGACGAAAGGTTCAGTCCAAAAAATATCTGAACTTCAAACCGGACTATCGGTTCAGTCCGAAAAAAGTTCGGTGTGAGGCAGGCAAATAGCCTGACCTCTGAACGGAGCTATAGCTCAATGGTCGTAGAGCATCCGCAAAGAATGCAGGAGGACCTGGGTTCGATTCCCAGTGGCTTCAGTTTTCCCAGGGAGGCCAGCATCATCATCACTCTTACAACATGGAGCCCACCGCGAGGGGGAGGGTTCTGTTCCTTCCCCCATTTATCGAACAATAAAAGGGAATGATGATGTAGTGGACAGGGACGCCCACATCTAAAGTTGGTGTGAGGTGTGAGGCAGGCAAATAGCCTGACCTCTGAACGGAGCTATAGCTCAATGGTCGTAGAGCATCCGCAAAGAATGCAGGAGGACCTGGGTTCGATTCCCAGTGGCTTCAGTTTTCCCAGGGAGGCCAGCATCATCATCACTCTTACATCGGTTCACGGTTCATGACTGTCTGGACCGAGAACCGAACCAAAGGCCATCTACACGCAGGTAAAATTTAATAGGCATGGTCCGTACACAGATCTGAAGTGCTAGCGACGGAGGTAACACTAAAAACCAACTAATTGATAGACGAGATCTACTTGAGCATGGCCACTTCATCCACAGAATTAGAACCTACGTTTTCGAATGCTTCAAACAAATCCGTGGCATGTTTTTGAGCCTCCTCGGTCGCGCCAATATGTCCATTACAGTATCCACCCTTGAGTATCTGCAATGCTTCGAAGGGTTTGTGCTTGAGGCGATTACGGCTGTGGCTGCCAGTAATTCCGCCACTTGAGAAGGCATGCTCCGATGGAGTGGCAGACCCTTGAATAGCAAGATAATCGCGTGCCATGCGAGATAAGGTTGGATACTGGAATGTGTGATGCTAGAAATAAAGGCATGCTGAGGTCAGAACACGATAAAGAAGGAAGCTGAAGATGACTTACACCCCACCACGAGACAACATTCTCAACGTCTTCCAGAGGGCTCTCGAGATATTTCTTTAGCTCATCCCGTGGGCGTGAGCTGCCGCGTTCTGCTTATTGACGTGACCGTATGGCTGCACGCATCCAGGAGTAGCCGTATTGAACTTCCGTTTTGTTTGCTGCTGCTGTGGAACATTTTATAGCTGATGAATGGTAGCGTTAATCGCAATGAAGGGTAGTACGATGAAGGCGTCATAGGGAGTTGTATGGATGAAGGGATGATCGATGATCGATGTTGATAAACCTTGGCCAAGTTCGGTCCGGACCGTGTTCGGACAAGTTCGCACATGTCTTCACGTCCTCGAACCTTGGACTGAACACTTGGTCCGGTCCATGGGTTCACTTGAACTTTGGACTGAACCGTGGTCCAGTCCTCAAAAGTTCAGGTTCGAACCTCGGTTCTGGACCGGACAGCGGCATCACTACTCGTCCAGGCAACTCCTTTTTCCACACACCTGGAGGTAGGTCACCACCATTCTCGGGTTGAGGCTGATGCCACCACTCGACGGTGTGTCCTTTACCTGCCATGGTTACAATTGCCCGGAAGGTCGCTTGATCCATCTCGTCCCAAAGTTGATAGTCATCCTTGTTGAGGATAACTTGCAAAACGCAGTTGGCTGTTGGGTCGCTCGCGGTACCATGTTCGTTCTTGCGGAACCAGGAGTTGGAGTTGTTCTCGCTGAGCTCCCGAGCGTTGCACAGACTGGACAGGAAGGTGTCAGAAGGATTAGATTTGTGGTATAGAAGGCATAGCACACCGAAAATCACGTAGTCTTCTGACCCTTTTGTGGAGACGG